TCATTATAATTTAGAGCAGTGTATGGTATATGGTATATGTGCAGATTGGCAAAAATGTCTGAGTCTAACCATTGATAGAATATTTTTAAAGTCCCTGTTGGTGAACACATATTTAGCCACTATTCTTAAGAAATAGAGTATTTCCAGTACCTTAGAAGCCTCCTTTGTCTTTCCATCATGACAAGTATTATCCTTTTATGTTATTCATTATTTTTCTTCAAAATTTTACCATGGATGTATGTATCTTTAAACAATATATTTATATTTTTTTTGAAAATTTGAAAAGTAAGCATAATCTATCTAACATTTCCAATATTAGATGAAGATTCTTAGAAGTATAGAGTCTCTGAATGGTAGTGGGCAAGTTCATGCATAAATAACTTTTTATTTGATTTCTGCAAGTTCATGCAGAAATCCACAATCAAGGGCTCACCACAGTAAAGGCATCTGGTATGACTTTGCAGAAGTGGGTGAGATCCTTTTAAAACCTCAAATTTATAAATCTGTGACATATCACTTTCCCCAGTGAGTACGTATGAGGTAAGGAGAACAGAATAAAGGCCCACTGAATTAGGATACGAGACAGTTGACCAGATTGTTACTAGCTAATGGTTTGGTTTTTGACACCTGCCTTGCACTATTCAACTTTCAACTTTGAGTTTCAGCAAAATTGTGATAACTCACATGTCATGGACCTTTGGGTTGTTCATGAATAGTTGACGTTTTATGTATTAAATGTATAACTATCAAGAGCCTTCCATAATGTGCCTGGTAAACAGTAGGTGCTTAAAAGGTAGTCAGAAGATAGGCTTTGAGAGTGCTCTCCCAACTTCTCACCTGTAAGCATCCAGGTTAAGTGATGTTGAGCTGGAGCAGATGATTGTGGTGCACAGACCCCTCTGATACCAGCATCTATCAGTGCTGGGATTTTTTGTCACCTGTCCCATGCACTGTTGTAAAGGACAGAGAAGCTCTTTGCTCTTAAAGTTCTTGTTAAAACTAGTTAGTGTTCTGATTGAGTCCATGCTTACATGTACCATATTACTTTTAACATTTCTCTCCCAAACATGAGTTGTATGCCTTAGGTTTTCCCCACCTTACCCTGGCCTGGGTGCATGCACTTTGTCCCTAGGACTTGGGCCCTTGTGATTTCTTGCAGCCCTTGGATGTGTGCCATATACTTCAGTATCCAATGAGTTACAGTTCCCTGCTTAAGCCATGCTGTTTCAAATTCCTCTGATTTTGCACGTGTTAACTGCCTGAAGTAAGCTCTCCCCTCTCCCAAACTCTCATCCTCCAAGAGTCTAATGTCTTCTTCTTCTTCTTTTTTTTATTGTTGAAAGTATTACCGATGTCCCCCATTTCACCCACTGACCCCCTCTTCCCTGCTCCCACCTCCCTTCTTCTTTCCCCAACCTAATGTCTGTGTCCATTGGTTGTGCATAGATGCACATACGTTATTGGTTTATCACTAATGCCTTCTTTAATCCCTTTTAGCACAGTTCATCTGGCCTTACTTTGATCTACTCTTGATACCTGTTGCACACTTCTATTATGACATATATCACTTTGAATTACAGTCATTTCTTAGCATACTTAGCTTCAGTATTAGACTGTGAGAGCAATACTAGTTAACATTGGAATTGTTATGTGAATAAGATAACTAAGGAGATTTTATGGCGTAAAATGTGTTTCCTTCCTGAGCAAGGAACTGTAGGTATCCCCAGTGGATCCCATTAATCTTTATCAGGGAGTACCTTCCCACATTGGCATAATACAGGAATAATATATGCAACTGAATTAGAAATCCAGTGGGCTGTGTTTTGGTTCCTGTACTCTATTTTACCTTTGTGTGATATTGTGATTTGTTTTTAACTCTCACCTGAGGACGTTTTCATTGATTTTTATAGAGAGCGAAATGGGGGGAGGGTTTGGGGGGGGGGGGAGAGAGAGAGACATCAGTGTGAGAGAGAAACATTTTAAGAAACTGCCTAAACTGTTTTCCAAAGTGGCTATAGCATTTTCCATCCCCCCACCAATGTGTATGTGAGTTCTGATTGCTCTGTGTCCTATCCAGCATTTGATAATGCCAGTTTTAAAGAAAAATTTAGCTATTCTAAATACATGTGTATTAACCATGTTTGTCTATCAAACCCTTGTGATTTGGGAGAAAATATGGAATGGGGCTAGATTAAATACAGAGCCAGGGAGGTGTTCATAAGGAGGAGATAAAGAGACCATTAGATTTGTGAGAGGTTGGTATGTCTGTCATAGTCACTGTTGTAACCCCAAATGACTAGCACAGTATCTGGTACACAGTAGGTATGTTTATTGAATCCTTGAATGAGGGATTGAGAGGTTAGGGAAGAAACAGGAATAGGATAGAAAATAATTTCAGATTAGCCTTGTTCTGAGTAATCCCAGTCTATTCATGTGACACATTCCTTTTAGTCTATATTTAAAAGTATGTTTAAAAATCGACTCTGTCCTCTGACTCCCAGTCACTTTGCAGGGAAAAGCACAAGGCAGAAAAGACTTGATGCTACTAACTGGTTATATGGATTTAGGAATGTTCTCCAACACTTCTGGTCCTCAGCTTCATTACTGTAAAATGAAAATATTTTATTACATTATATTTCAGCTTTTTAAAAAATTAATTTTTGTTACAGATGTTTCTCCTTTTTCCCCCAGCGATACCCCCCTTCCTATCCCTCCCCGCCCTGTCCATAGATTTGTTGTCCATGTCCATTGTTCATGCATACATGCTTGTAAGTTCTGTGGTTTATCCCCCCTCTTCTGGGGATTGTCATTCTGTACTCTACTTCCATGTCTCTGGGACTACCCCGTTCCTCAGACTGTTATGTTCATTATATTGCACATATCAGTGAGATCATGTGATATTTGTCTTTCTCTGCTTGGCTTGTTTCGCTTAGGATGACACTTTCCAGGTCCCTCCATGTCGTCTCAAAGGATAAGATCTTTCTTTCTTACAGCTGCATAGTACTCCATTGTGTATATGTACCACAGCTTTGTTATCCATTCATCTACTGATGGACACTTGGGCTATTTCCAGATCTTAGCTATTGTAAATAGTGCTGCTATGAACATGGGGGTACATATATTCTTTCTGATTGGTGTTTCAGGCTTCTTCGGGTATATTCCTAGAAGTGGGATCACTGGGTCAAATGACAGTTCAATTTTTAATTTTTTTGAGGTAACACCATATTTCAGTTTTTTAAACTATGTATATTTTTTTGATCACATCAAATGTGAAATCATTTGGTAGGTGAGGAAGAAGCATACCAGAGCCTTTGATGCAAAGAGGAGGGCCTGAGCCTCAGAGAAAGCAAAGCCGAGGGGGTATGGGAACACAGACAGTCTGGGCCCTGTGTGAACAGTTGTTAGGCAGTGGTCTTTTTCTCTGTCCTCACGCTCACTGCACTTCTCAGTTCAGAAGGTAGAATTTAGCAAGAAACAAAAACAAAAAACAACCCCACAAAAAAACAGTTCTTAGCAGATATTTATTCTATTTGTACTTTGAATGGTTTTGTATACATACTGTTAAATATTGGTAGAGATTTGGTAATATACTTATACCCAGATAAACTTGATTCTGTGTTGACAAGGTATTTGACCTGTTTTGTTGTTTGTCTGACATTTTTTCAAGCTCCATAACATTTGAAATTTTATTTGTTTCCTGTTGTGATTCCTTTGAAATATTCAGAGGTCTTGATCGCTGGAATATCTCTTGTAATATATAAATTTTCAAGCCATTATTGTTTTCATAGTTTAATATTTCGAATAGTTTTATTATTCTGAGGAAAACTGTATATTTTGCTCTAATATAGTTTAGGTTGTAAAATCAAATGTTTGATTATTTATTTTAGACTATGTTTCCAACCATTTATTTTAAAACATTACTATTATGTTCTTTTGGTTATGAGGACCCACGAAAGTACAGTTGCCCCTCAGTACCCATGGGGCATTAGTTCATGGACCTCAGCAGATACCAAAATCTGAGGATCTCAAGTCTCTTATATAAAGTAGCTTAGTATTTGCATAATTTATGCACATCCTCTCGTATACTTTAAATGATCTCTAGGTTACTTATACCACCTAATACAATGTAAAATACTATGTGAATAGTTGTTAGCACTGAATTGTTAAGAAAAATATCTGTGCATGTTTGATACAGATACAACCATCATAGGCCTAACTACACTGTGTACTTCAGCAACACCGTAACATTCTTTTTTGGAATATTTTTTATTTGTGGTTGAATTCTCAGATGTAGAACCTGCAGATGTGGAGAGCTGACTATAATCCTTTGGCAAATAGTTTAGGAAAGAGAGTGAGGAATCTGACTTCTGTTTAACCTTTCAGCTCATAAAAAGCCAGTTTAAGACTAATTGACTAAAGATATTACTTTCAGATTCTAATGTAAGTAATTAACATTTCTAGAGTAGAAAACTTTTTTAATTGCACGGTAAATTGCCATCACTTTTAGGCATAGTCTCCCTTAGGAAGCTGTTCTGCAGTTCCTACCTAGTCCATTAAGTCTGTTTGTTATAGTAGGATATAAACAACTTTGGAATATTTTACAATTTTGTGTTGGATGATATCCTGGAAAAGAAAATATATAGGTTTATGTTAATACTAATAAATAGATTTAAAAAACCACAAAGGCTCTATATATGAGACAGCTTTAGTTTTGGAGGTCAGACATATACTTTTTTGAAAGTATCAATTTCAAATGTACTGACAACTTGTTAGACCACTACAGCCTGTAAGAGGGTCACCTCTATGGTATTCAAGCTCTTATATCCTTTATCAGAGCCTGTTCTGTAGCCCTATAATTAAAGGTTGTTACATGCATCATTCTGAAATTGAATTTGGGCAATTATATGTATACTAACAAAATACACTTTTTTAAAATATCTTTCAGAATCATGGTGTCATGGAAGGGGATTTACTTTATACTCACTCTGTTTTGGGGAAGCTTTTTTGGAAGCATTTTCATGCTGGGTCCCTTTTTACCTTTGATGTTTGTAAACCCATCTTGGTATCGCTGGATCAACAACCGCCTTGTGGCAACCTGGCTCACACTTCCTGTGGTAAGTTACACACCAGAGAAGGAGACTCTCTGTACCAAAGTGGCCCAGCCTATTGATATTTACTTTGTTAGAGTCAGATTTAGTCAAGTGTTAGATTTAAGTCTTGCTTGCTATATAAGAGTTGCATTAGAATTTAAAGGCAATACAAAACCTAGGGAGAAATAAAAGTAATTTGTCCTTTGAAGTAAAACAACTAAGAGACATTTAAAAACTGAGTTTCTTTTATATTTTCATTAAACATTTTTTCTTCGTTGAGGTATGCTTTACATATAGCAAAATATACAAATCTAATGATAGCCCAGCTGGTGTGGCTCATTTGGTTGAGAGTCATCCCATGCACTGTGAGGTTGCCAGTTCGATTCCTGGTCAGACCACATGCCCAGGTTGCAGGCTCGATCCCCGGTGGGGGGGCATGCAGGAGGCAGTCGATCTGTGTTTCTCTCTCTCTCCCTCTTTGTCTAAAAAAAATCAATGAAGACATATTTAAAAAAACAAATTTAAAGATACAGATTGAAGAATTTTTCCTTCATTAATTTTATTTTGCATTTCCATTTGGTTTATATACAATGACAAAAATTAAGATTTAGATAACAAACTATTTTTTAAACTTATGATATTGATGTGATTGATTTAATTCTTCCCGGTAACCACAGAATTTAGGAATAAAGTGATTTTCTATGTGTGGGCTAGGTTAACAACATCTGTAAGGTAAAAGGACATATAAAATGTGTGGTATTGAATGCCAGGTATTCTCTGTAGGGTCAGTGCATACTACTTCCAGCACCCTCCCTGGGATCCTGGGCTGGGGAGTTCCAGGAGGACTCTGTACAGACCCCTCCCTTGTCAGGGACTGCAGAGGCTTTCCCCCTTCTCGCTGCGGAGCAGCAGTGCCTTCTCTGAACGGGGAGCGGCGTGTGTGCAGCGCCGTTACCTTGATTGCATACGCTGTATTTCCGGGGAGTTATGTTCTCTCTGTTTCCTGAGCAACACCTAGAACTTAATATTACTGGTCTACTGACTTATTATGATGGTTGTTATACCTGAAAAGAAAATGAGAAAAGAATCCTCTTCCTTCAGTTGTTGAAGGATCTTCTTTACCTCTTTCTTTTGAATTGAATTGTCTGTTTCTCCTCAAGCAGACTGCCACTGTTATATTTGTAGAGAGGAGACTACCGTGCTAATGATATGGACCCCTCAAGTAGAGCATGATTGGGAAATATTTCCAGACACAGTGGTGGGTGTACCTACTTTGATAGAGTAGATATTTCTTAAAAGTTTCCTGTAACTTTAATTTTAATAAATCATTTACAGTGTAGCCTTCTTTTCATATTTAAAAAGGAATCCTGTGATGAGTAAGTTTAGAAGTTAATTTGTTCCCTGATTACAAGATTAATTTGTTTTAAACTTTTATACAGATGTCTGTTTTATGAAATGTGACGCTGTTAAACTAAAAGTAGCTTTCTGCCTCTTTGTCCTTCCTTCCTCTTTCCTGTCTTCTGTATTTGCACTTAAAACGGTCTGTTCTACAAGCACAGGGAAAGGGACAGCATACTTATAGGTAATAAACAAGATATGAGGAGAAGAATAGAAGGTTTTGTTAAAAGGAAACTCAGAGTAAAAACCCCAGGGTAGTGATGATCAGAACTGCTGACCACCTCTTTGTCAGGTATTGTGCTTTAGGAGGATGGCTTCATTTCAGGTGCCACCATTGTCTCCATTTTACAGAAGAGGAAATAGAAGCTTTGAGAAATTAAGTACTTTGCCCAAGGTGATACACAGAAGCAAATTATTTAAGCACAGCTGAGATTAAACCCAGATTGTCTGCTGCCATTAGAGCCTTAAGTGATAGGATTGGTCAGGGTCACACGGAGCCTTAACAACTCCCCAGTGGTAAGAAGTTCACAGGTACCTCGTGATTGTTTCAAAAGGAGGAGGTTTGGAGTTCTTTCCAGCTATGGAATGCCTGCCTTGAGAAAAATATCTGAGAAACTGATAACTAGTAATAAATCAGGCTCAGTAATGTGATGATTCCCTCACAGTGGAAGAGGAAAGTTGGCAAGAAATAGTCATAGAAAACCTTCTCTTTTAGTAGAGAAGCCAAAGACACAGGTTAATGAAATACCTGGAACAAGGTACCTATTAGTAAATCTTTGTTGGATGAGTAGACAAACAGAAAAATGTTTCAAGGTCCAACTGCCCAAACTTTGGTATTAGAGTTAGGTTGGCTTCATAAAACGAATTTGTAGTGTTCTCTCCTCTATTTTTGAAAGAAATATTGTATAGTGTTCTCTATTTTTGAAAGGTCACACACACACACACATATATATTCTTAGTCATGGCTTAAAGATTACCTAATGCAACCTTAGTGTATCACAGTCTACTTAGAGTTAATATTTACTGCATCTTGTAAAATGTAAGAACCTTGTAATAGCATAGTGCATTTATTCTAACATCCTTTGTGCTGCGTTATCATATTACCTCTACTTACACAATTACCTTCATAATGCAGTTATAATTTTTTTGCCTTAAATAATCATCTTTTTAAAAAAATATGTTTTTATTTTTTTAGAGAGAGGAAGGGAGAGAGAGATAGAAACATCAATGTGAGAGAGAAATATCAGTGGGCTGCCTCTTGCACGACCCCTACTGGGGATCGAGCTGGCAATCCAGGCATCTGCCCTGACGGGGAACCAAACCGGGACCTCTCAGTCCATGAGATGTCGCTCAGTCCACTGAGCCACACCGGCTGGGCAGTAATCATGTCTTTTAAAGAAACTCCAAAAGAAAAATATAACCTCTTATATTTATTTAAATACTTTTCATTTCTAGTGTTCTTTATTCTTTCTGTATATTAGAGTTTCCATCTAGTGCCATTTCCCTTCAGCCTAAAGACCTTCCTTTAGCTTTTCTTGTATCGAGGGTTCCTGTAGCTGAATTGTTTTCATTTAATTGAAATTTTTCTTATTTTACCTTCACTTTTGAAGGATAGTGTTGCTGGCTATAAAATTTATTTTTTTTCCTTTTCATACTTTAAAGTTCTGCTGTCTTATGGTTTCCATCATTTCCTGTGAAAAATTAGCCATCATACATATTGTTGTTTTCCTTCAGGTAATGTGTCATTTTTCTCTGTTTTCAAGATTTCTCTCTCTCTCTTTTTTTTTTTTTTTTTTTTTAGCAATTTGATCATGATATATCTAAATGTACTTTCCTTTATGTTTAATTTCTTGTGTTCATTGGGCTTCTTAGATCTGTAGGTTAGTAAGTTTTCTCCAAATTGGCCACTAATTCTTCATACAGTTTTTTCTGCTTAATTCTCTCTCTCCTTTCCTTTTGGACTACAGTTATATATGTGTGTTAGATTTCTTATAGTGTCACACAGGATACCAAGGTCACTGACCCTTTCTTCTGCTATGTTCTTCATATAGTGGATTTATCTTCAAAATACTGTACTTTAAAATTCTAGAATTTATTGTGTTTTTTTTTTTTTGTTGGTTTCATTCCTTTCTTGAGGTTCTTCATCTATTTATTCATTATGACCATATTTTCCTTTAAGTCAGCTGGGTGGTAAGTCTAGTACCATTTCTGTCAGGGCTGAAAGCAGAAGTCACCCTCTTTTTTCTTTCCTGTAGGAAATACTTTGCACTGAATATTTGTACGATTACTATGTTATTGGTATGGAGCCTTCTTATTCTTTAAAAAAAAATTTTTTCTTTATTGATTTTAGAGAGAGAGAGAAAGGAAGGGAGAGAGAGATGGAAACATCAATGAGAGAGAACATCGATTGGCCGCCTCCTGCATGCCCCCCACTGGGGATCGGGCATGTAACCTGGGCATGTGCCCTGACCGGGAAGTGAACCAGTGACCTCTTGGTGCATTGGTCGACTATCAACCACCACTGAGCCACATCGGCTGGGTGAGCCTTCTTATTCTTTTAGGCAAAATTTTATTATCCTTTGTTAATAGAAGGATTTTTTGTTGTTGTTTGTTTATTTTGATTTTAGAGAGGTTGGAAGGGAGAGGGGAAGAGAGAGAGAGAGAGGTAGAAACACTGATCGGTTACCTTTTGTACTCACCCCAACCGGGTATCGAACCCATTATCCTTGAGTCACACCAACCAGGGCACTAGACAGGTGTTTTGTTGTAACTTTTGTTTATTGCAAAAGTAGTCAGCATCATCCCTGATGATTCAGCCAACAACTATTAAGTGTCCACCATTGCCAAGCATTTTGCTAAGATGTAATGATGAACAGGACAGATATGACCTCTGTCCTTGTAGAGATAATAGTCCTTCTACCTAAAGTATCTTTTCAGATTGCCGATTTACACAGCTTGACTACCTTTTCTGGCTTTCATTTGGCCAAACAACTACTTCCTTTGTTAGAGGACAGAAGTTGACTTTCCAGGCCATGAATTCTTAGAGTTGGATTTTTATATCAGCTTTAAAGATATAAAGAAGTTCAGCCCTGGCCAGTTTGGCTCAGCAGTTAGAGCGTCGGCCCAAGGATGAAAGAGTTGCGGGTTCGATTCCAGTCAAGGGCACATACCTCGGTTGTGGAGGCTGGGGTCATGTGGAATGCAACCAGTCGATGTGTCTCTTACATCGATGTTTCTCTCTTTCTTTCCCTCTCTCTCCCTCCATTCCACTCTATCTGAAAATAAATAGAAAAATGTCCAATGGATTAAAAAAAAAAAGATAGGAAGTTTAATGTTTCATTGCAGCCCTCAAACATATCACTTAATATAAAATATTCATCTTGTGGTATTGCATAGTCATTGTCACTCACTTATTTACAAAGTGAGTATCTCTCCATAAAATATTTATATTAAATAAAATAAGCATATTTTCAGTTCACATAAAATTAACTATTATGAGTAGGTTTTTTTAAAAAGTCATCTACAAATTGTCTAAATGTTCAATAATTCCATGTATAGTCATTAATAAAACCAGAAACATTTCCTTTTGAAAATGTTTAACTCTATTCAAATTATTTACATGTAAACTTTTTTATGTTTCATCATCTGTAAAACAAGAAATAAGGAAGTTAGAGTAGATGGTCTCTGAGATTCATTCCAGACTCAGCATTGTGTATAGGATTCTAAAACAAACACTTAGGTATATAACTTTTTGGTAACAGTCAAATTTTGATCCTATGCTTCATTTTCTTAATGTCATCAGTTTTCCACAGTATATAATCTTTTGCTTATGTATCTCATGATTTTGGCTGAACTTCTCTACTAAAACCTTAAGAGTTTTGAGAATTTTCTTGTAGTTATTATGTCAGTAAAAATCATTGTAGTTGTAACGATTTACAGTGTCAATTAGATTTCCTTGGAGAGCCAATATAAGCAAAGTGCTAATTGGTACACACATTGATTTCACTGTCGGCCTTACTACTTTCTAGTCATGTAAATCTGGCTAAGCTTCTTAGCCTCTCTAAACTTCTCTTTCTTCATCTATATAAAAAATAGGGAGTACTAATACTATCTAAATACCTCAGAGAGTTATTGTGATGACTCAATGAAGTGATGATATAGTCTTTTGAAGTATGTAGTATGTTTGCTCCTATATTCATTTTAAGGCATAGGCTAAACTACTATCAAAGAAAATGTAAAATACAGTGTCTTGAATAAGGTAGAACTTTGTTTATCCTCAGGTCCAGGTGGGCAGGGTAGCTCTGCTCCCTAATATCATTTAAAACCTAAGATTCCTTCTACCCAGCCTGGCAGAATATCCTCTTCTTCATGGTCAGGCTGGTCACTTTGTCCCTCTCTGCACTTGGTGGGGCGGGTTGGAAGTCCAGAGCAGGCTTCTTTTAGACCAGAGAATTACAAGGTGCACATATCTCTCTTATTCACCTATTGAAGAGAACAGCTAAAATATGTAATAGAATCTGGGAAATGTAGTCCTTTTTTTTCCTTTTTTTCCTGAGCAGCCATGCACATAATTAAAATTTATTGTTCTGGAAGAAATGCTGGATTTTACGGGACAAATTCTGCCATAGCTTTTGCTACTACTAGTACCATTATTATTATAGCAGAATTACATTACATTATACATCTATTTACCTTATACAACCCCAATTTCATATACTAGGATGGGTGAGGGAAGAGTGAGAGAGAAAAAATTTTTAAATATAGGGCTCCTCCTGAACCTCCACTTCATGTGGGATGAAATGGGAAATGTGAGTGGTCCTGTGCTGAGTATGATTTGTGTGTTTAAAACAATGAGCAAGCCCTGGCTGGTTTGGCTCAGTAGTTAGAGTGTCGGCCTGCGGTCCAGAGAGACCTGGGTTCGGTTTCCACTAAGGGCACGTGCCTCGGTTGCAGTTTGTCCCCGGCCCTGGTTGGGTTGTGCGGGAGGCAGCCACTCAATGTATTCCTTTCACGTCAATATTTCTCTCCCTCTCTCTTCCTCCCACTCAACTATCTGAATAAAAAGTGGAAAAATGTCCTCGGGTGAGAATAAAAAAAACAAACAAACAATGAGCGAACCAGTCACTTCATCTGGTGGTCTGCTGGAGAAACCTGGTCCAGCATTCGGAGAAAAGGCTGAGCTGGCTGGACTCATTGATAGTGTGCTGGTCTCTCTGAGATTTCCAAAGGTAATTTCACCTCTTGCCTTATTACCTGATTCAAGAACTTAACACATAGACAAGAGTCAATTACCATCATAGTATTATATTGTTATATATTTGAAAAAACTTCTATTATCCAGCTATTTAACTCAGTGCCTTGCTCACTAGTAACAGCTTATCAGGCGGGGAGTCTCCCAATTAAGAAATTTATTGATGTCAAATCCCCTATAGCTAGGTTACAGAAAACTGATGTTCTGGTTTTGAGATGGTAAACATCTCTGTTTAAAGAAATGGAGAAAAACGTTCAGGGTGTCTTTTATGACTGTTTATTTTATACTTTTATAAGGTACTAAAGGAGTTAGCAAATAGGTCATTTTTTTATTTAGAAGGAATTCAGTCATTTCCCCCCCTGTGGTACATGTATTTTATTTTTAGCAATACCAAACAGTTAAAAATAATTTTTCACTAAAAATAAATTAGAGTAAATGCACTTAGACTAGTTATTGTTCACAGAAATAATCACAAAATGATCACTTTTGTAAGCTGCTCTTGTGCATTAAAATTATTTCATTGACAAGATTTTTCTTGCTGTACTGTTTTTAAGGAGCACGTTTTCTGTGTTAAATGAGGTACTATAGTAAAATCTTTTAGAATCTTAGATGAAACTTAAAGGCCACCTAGTCTAACCTTTATCTATGTGTGCAAAAATCCTTCTTAGGACAGTCTGTCGAGTGACCCATTCGGTCTCTCTTGGAACATTTCTGTAATAGGTAGTGCATGTCTTTGTTTGTTTGTTTCAGTTTTGGACAGTTCCATTCAATATAAAACTGTTGGGGTCAAACTTTGCACATGCCCAGAACAGTTTTTGCTTTTCAAAATGAAGTCTTTTCAACCGTCCAATTGTTAGAATTACCTGGGATTATGAAAATTACTTAGAGTTCTGTCCTTTCACCATAAATCATGACTTAGGAATTTAGAGGTCATTCTCTAACTCCCCACCTAAGATACAAGTCTCTTTCACAGCCTGCTGATTTCATTCCATTCCTGGAACAAAACAGGTGTTCAACAAGCACAGATTAGTGGATATATTTTCTGTCTAGACTTCTTCTCTTAAGAAAGGAGGTGCTCAGTGTTTGATGAATGACTTGGGATTGCAAGGCCTTAAATAGCTAAGGATTTGAGGAGCCAGGCCGAAGCTGAGTCTCAAGGCAAAACAGATGATGAATGTCACATAGTTGTTCTTACCTCAGATTTCATAAAGCTGCATTGAAATGATACATAAGAGCACAGGGAAAAACGTATTTTCTGTGATCATGAGGGGAACCTCTCATTTTGATGTTTTTTTCATACATGATGGAGCTCTTGGAGGTAGTAAATACTGGTATATAAAAGATCCTCAGAAATTCTGTATTTCTAATTCTAGGAGAACTATTTGTTCAATTTGGTAAAAGTCATGAGAGTTGTAGCTCTTAGTTCAATAGAAGAAATAAAGCATTAAAATTTTTTTATAAGATTAGTTTCTTATTGCTGAAAGTATCTTCTATATTAGAAATAGTACAAATATGAAAAAAATGAGAATAGTGTCCTTTTGTTTTAACTTTTAATCTGTATTATTTGAATTCTGGAGTTCTTTATAGACATTATAACTTTATCTCTGTGTGGTGCATTTGCTATTCTGCCTTGCAGGAGCTGTAAACATTGTTGACTAGATATGTCTTGTCTGGTATTTAAAATGATTAATGTGAGCTTCAGGTCGAGGCTGCCTAAAAGGTTATATATAACTTTCAGGCACATTTTGATAGAGTGCTATATGGTAAGGGAGAAAATGTCATATGATATGTTCCTGACAGTCTGGAATTTTTTATTTTGACATTTTTCATGATGAAAAGCAAAAGATTGTTTTGGGGATCCATAGAAAACACATATTAGAAATTGAACATAAAAGGTTAGAGTTGAGGTTTTGGGTTTATAAGCTTATTATTTGAAACTCTTTTCTATACTACAATATAATTAATAGTCAACTTCCTCTTTGTACTAGTTAAGGGAAAGGTATCCTGTATTTCAGTTCTTCACAAATCTGAAAAGTAGATCATATTGTAAAGCAGGAGGGAGCGGATTCGAATTAACCTTGGATGGTGAAGACACGCATATCCTCTTGGCTAAGACATAAAATTTAGTGCTTCATTTTGGTAGTTGATGGTTCTTTGTACTTACAAGTAGATATTTCTTACTGTGGGTCCAAGCCTAGAGGTCTCTGCCGTGATTCTGTCTATCATGAAATCTCTGGGACTTAACTACCCAGAGACTTTGGAGTAGGGGTTATAACTATTTGAATACTTATGGACTCTTGAAAATCTGATAAAAACTATAGGTAGTTTGCCTAGCAACGTTACCTGTGTACAATTTCAAGAAGGGTACATGTTTATTGACCTCTTGAAGGCCATCCTTCTCGGGCTTAATAAATGCCAGGTTAAATATCCAGGCCCTAAAGTGAATCTCAGCCAAGGGAAAGTAACTTAATGGGGACCTGTGGGATATTTATAGCTGTGTTAGCCCAAATGATCTTTTTTCACTCTGTTAAGATCTTAACACTTTGACTCTGTATGTCTTTGGATGTATAACATTTCTCACTTCTGTTTTTTCCTTTAGCTAGTATTTCTTTTAACCCTTTTTTTCTTGATCCTTTTTATTCTTATATTTTTGAAATCCTAGTGTTCTTTTGTATCATGTTCTTTTAAAAAGTAGCTTTTTGTGTGAAATATAGCAAACACGCTGAAAACATGTTATTAATAAAACATAAACACTTTAATAAATAATTTTAAAGTATAACTATCATCCAGGCCAAGAAATAGAACATTGCTAGCCCTCCAGCAAGCTACCCAGCTTCCCAGTCACGGCACCCTCCTGTTTGATGCAAGTGCCCACTAACCTGACTGGTGAAGTAGTTGTTTCCTTGCTGTTTGTAATTTTACTCCCCATCTATTTACCCCTAAAATATCTTAGTTCCTGTCTGTTTCAGAAAGTTTTATGTATGGACACTTACTGTATATATACATATTTGTTTGCTTTTCTTCTGTTTTTCAACATTATGTTTGTGTGTTAACCACATTATTGTAGATACCTATACTTCATTTATTTTTATGTTGTATCATAGTCCATTGCATCACTGTACAACAGTTTATTTCCTACAATTTGATCAAGGTTTTCATGTTATTGACAGGGAACTTCTTATCTTTTATCTGCTTTGGATCAGTTTTCTCTCCATTAATAGGGAAGTCAAATAATAGTGATAGTGAAGTCAAATATTAACTAGTAAATTTATTTCATGTAAATTGTTTGGGGATTGAAATCAGTAATTAGGTTTTCTTATTATCTGTTATGTCTCTTTCAAGAACTCCAGTCTGTAATATACTTTTCTTCTAAATAGTTTATACATAGTATATGCTGGCCATCAGAAAAGTTCATCTAAAATTTCAGCAACTATTTTTGCATTTTGTGTGTGCAGCACTGTTACAGATACTAAGGCTGCAGCATTCTAGTAAAAATAGTTATATTTTATTCTTTATATATTTTTAAATAAACAGGTACGTGTATTTGTTTTTTAAAATATCATAGTTTAGAAGGTATGAAATAAAAAGTTTGACTTTCTCTTTCTTCAGCCCTTTATCCAATATTGACTTTCTTTACTATCCTTTCTATAAAAGAAGTAATAATCTTATATATTTATAGCCTTAAGAAAATTACACAGTGGAATCTTATATGCTTTTTTCTTTTTAACATACTACCTTCAAGATTTTAATGAAAGTTAGCATTTTTTAATTAGGAAACTGCCAGAAACTTTAATTAGTAGAACTAAAAATAGTAACAGTGCCTTTATATTCTTCCAGATTAACTTTTTAAAATTTTTATTTATTATAGAAGACTCATGGGAAACACTGCTTTTGATTTATTTACTTATGGGAAATCATAACTTTAATTTGTTATATATCTATTTTGTTTTTGCCATAGGCATTGCTGGAGACCATATTTGGTGTAAAAGTGATTATAACAGGTGATGCATTTGTTCCTGGGGAAAGAAGTGTTATTATCATGAATCATCGGACGAGAATGGACTGGATGTTCCTGTGGAATTGTCTGATGAGATATAGCTACCTCAGACTGGAGAAGATTTGCCTCAAAGCCAGTCTCAAAAGTGTTCCTGGATTTGGTAGGTTATTCACAAATTAAGTTGTTCATTCATTTTATGTGATTTACCCACCTAGAAAAGAAGAACTTACTAAACTCCGCTGATGTATTAAAGCCATTGCCATTTATTCTTCACTAGCCTTAAAACAGCCACCAGTTTCATTTTTTCTTAGTGGATCATAACAGACTGCTCTATTTGAATCTCTTGAAACATCTTACGTTGAGGGAATAAACTATTTTCAAAAAAGTAGATATGATTCCAGAGGGACCAACTGTAACTTTTTTTTTTAATCCGCACCCGAGGACATGTTTATTGATTTTTAGAAAGAGGGAAGAGGGAAAAGGAGAGAGAGAAAGAGAAACATTGATTAGGTTGCCTCTCATATGCGCTCTGACCAGGGATTGAACACATAACCTAGGTATGTGCCCTGACCGGGAATCGAAATGGTGACCTTTAAGTGTGTGGGATGATGCTCCAGCCAACTGAGCTATACCAGCTGGGGTACTAGTTCGGTAACTTTTTTTTTTTATCCTCACTCGAGGACATTTTTCCATTTTTTGCTCAGATAGAGTGGGAGGGAGGGAGAGGAAGAGAGAGAGAGAGAGAGAGAGAGAGAGAGAGAGACATCGATGTGAAAGGGACACATCGAGTGGCTGCCACCCGCACGACCAACCAGGGCCGGGGGTCAAACTGCAAGCGAGGCACATGCCCTTAGCGGGAACTGAACCCGGGTCTCTCTGGACCGCAGGCCGATGCTCCAACCGCTGAGCCAAACCGGCCAGGACTTAGTTCGGTAACTTTTTATTGCATGTCATGCTTATGGTAATTTATGCCAGAAACTGGCTTGTGCTGATGAGGTACTTGAAATGAACTGATACATTCATCTAATAAATACAAATTGAATACCCATTGGTTCTAAGCATTAAACTAGGTGCTGGTATTTTATTTTTATATATGTATTTTTTAATTACAGTTGACATACAATATTATATTAGTTTCAGGTGTACAACATAGTGATTAGACACATATATATAACTTACGAAGTGTTCACCTTGATAAGTCTAGTATCCACCTAACACCATGCATAGTTATTACAATATTATTGACTATATTCCCTATGCTGTATGATATATCCCTGTGACTCTTGTAACTGCCAGTATGTACTTCTTTAATCCCTTCACCTTTTATACCCATCCCCTTAGACCCTGCCATCTGGCAACCATCAGTTTGGTCTCTGTGCCTGTTTGTTTCTGTGTTGTTTGTTCGTTTATTTTTTAGATTCCACATATAAGTGAAATTATATGGTATTTGTCTTTCTCTTTCTGACTTATTTCATTTAGCATAATGGCCTCTAGGTCCATCTGTGTTGTCACAAAGGCTAAGATTTCATTCGTTTTTGCGGCTGAGTTATATTCCATTGTATTATGGACCACCTATTTATCCATTTGTATATTGATGGACACTTAGGTTGCTTCAGTGTCTTGGCTATTGTAAATAATGCTGCAGTGAACACAGGGGTGCATATATCTTTTCGATTAATGTTTTGGATTTTTTTGGATAAATATCCAGCAGTGGAATTACTGGGTCATATGGTAATCTATTTCTAATTTTTTGAGGAACCTTCATACTCTTCTCCATAGTGGCTGCACCAATTTACATTCCCATTGACAGTGTACAAGGGATTCATTTTCTTTACATCCTCACCACACATGTTGTTTGTTGATTTATTGATGATAGCCATTCTGAAAGGTGTGAGGTGATATCTCTTTGATGTTTTTTTTTGTTTATCCTCGCCCGAGGACATTTTTTTGTTCAGATAAAGTGGGAGGAAGAGAGAGAGAGAGAGAAACATCGATGTGAAAGGGACACATCGAGTGGCTGCCACTCACATGACCAACAAGGGCCGGGGACAAACTGCAACCGAGGTACGCACCCTTAGCGGGAACCGAACCTGGGTCCCTCTGGACCGCAGGCCGATGCTCTAACCGCTGAGCCAAACTGGCCAGGGCTTATTGATGTTTTAATTTGCATTTTTCCGATGACTAGTGATGTTGAGCATCTTTCCACATGTCTATTGGCATGTACTCTGCCGAATTTTTAATTAGATTGTTTGGTGTGTTGTTTTTTGTGTGTGTTATGTTGTATGAGTTCCTTCTTTTTTTTGTATATTCCCTATCAGATGTGTCATTGGCAAATATCTTCTCCCATTTAGTAGGTTGTTGTTTTGTTAATGGTTTCCTTTGCTGTGCAAAACTTTTTAGTTTGATATTGTCCCATTAATTTATTTCTTCGTTTGCTTACCTTGCCCAGAGGAGACATTTCTAAAAAAAATATTGCTGAGAGCAATAAGGAAATCCTGCCATTTGTGACAACATGGATGGGCATTGAGGGCATTATATTAGGTGAAGTCAGAGAAAAGCAAATACATATGATCTCACTTACATGTGGAATTAAACAACAAAGAAAATACTGAACTCAGGTGCAAAGAACAGATTGGTGGTTGCCAGAAGCCAGAGGTTAGAGGGTGGGCAAAATGGGTGAAGGTGGTAAAAAAGCACCAACTTCTGGTCATAAAAAAGTCATGGGAATAATGTACAGCGTGGCGACTATAGCTGATGACAATGCCATGCTTTATATTTGAAAGTTGCCGAGAGAGTAGATCTTAAATGTTCTCATCATAAGTAAAACAGTTGTAACTGTGTGGTGTGATGATGGATGTTAACTAGACATATTGTGGTGATCATTTCACTATATACCAGCAATTCAACCCGTGTGCCACAAGAATTTTTAAAACATGCAATACCTGACTATTTAGTCAAGGGCACTGACCTCTTTTCTCTTAGATTGTCAAATAAAAAAATGACAACAGCCAACACAGTAGCCATCTGGTGTGAATGAATCAAAATTATACTTATTTTTATGTCAAATTGGCAAAAAAAATATATTTTTTGGTGTGCCACAGACTTTTAGTAATGAGTCTTTGTGTGTTATGAGATGAAAAAGGTTGAAAATCTCTCTTATTACACAAACGGGGTTGGTAAAAGTAGGTTTACAGTGTATTATTTCCCACACAAACAACTGTAAATCTACATTTGTCCATCTGTATATGGAACCATTTTGCCATACCTGAAACTAATAATGTTATAAGTCAAATTACATCTCAGTTTTTAAGAAGAAGTACTGCTTTATTGGGTGGTTGTGAGGATTAAATTAAAAGTTTGCTGCTGCCTTTTTCTTTTTTCTGTAGTTCCATCTGGAACACCCACTGCTTGCCTTATGGAGGTCCATGTAGACCTCTGATTTCCCAGTGCCTCACAGGCCCATATTCTGTCTCTCTGATGACCTCATCTGTGTTTCCACCTGCTCTGCACTGATAGAGCCAGTTTTATCATTACAAACCTGTCTCTTCTCTTGCCTTGTGTTCCTATGTAAGTCATTCTTAGCTTTTCCACTTGCCTATTTTCTTTTCCCACATGAGTTATAAGCTTCTCACAGAGTGTCTTACATATTGTAGGCTCTTAAATAATTGCCGACTTGATAGGATTTCATGAAAATGCAAACCATTAATGAGAACAGATTCTGGATTGGAGAAAAAAAGATTTTAGTATCTCTGTAGTGAATACATAGAAAGTAAATTAAGCAAGACAAAAGTGTAGGCAGCAAAAAACAAACTCCAGACAGAACTCTTTTGCAAATGAGAGTATTACAGTTGGAGTTTGCAGGAGGAAATGGAAGAAAGGGAAAAGAAAGAATGATCTTAGTGGTCACAGCTGTACCTGGCTTCAGACTGTGCTAGACTTAGCTTGTCGACAATGTGGCATGATTTTAGGGAGTACTTAATATTACTATTGATAATTATTTTTAAATACATGTTTGCTTATAAAATGTTTGAAATATAACGACTAAAGGAAAATAATCTTTTATATCTATAGTGCCACGTTGGAGAATGGATGAGAGTGTGGAATTTCTTAAAGTATTAAAGTAATAGATTATGCAGCAGACTAGAAAAGAAATCATTAAGAATGTTTAGATTCTAGCCCTGGCCAGTTTGGCTCAGCAGTTGAGCATCGAACTGCGGACCATCGAGTCCCGGGTTCGGTTCCTGCTAGGGGCACCTACCACGCGCACACACAAAAATAATAAGATAAAGGCAAGGAAAAGCTAACCAGTCCCAAAATAGCTTCTTCAATTACTTATAGTCTAAAAAAAAAGGTTTAGATTCTAGGTCAAGTTACAAAGAGTTTGAGTAAGTTAACTAAACTATTTAGAGTTTGCTAAGATATAGGCAATTAGACCTTAAGAAAAAAATGTCCTATGGTTACATGTCAGCTGTTTCTAATGGTGGTATACACATAGATTCTTATTTTAGCCAACTTTGTAACCACTGAGCAAAACCTAATGAAATGAAAAATTAAACTTAAAGGTGTCATAAAAAGTCCATTTGCTTGGTGAGTTTGTAACCAGAAAATTCGTGTGTCATTTGTGCCCATCCAACTCATGCTTCTTGGTTTTTCTGGATCATTAATCACACTAGAGTAGCAGAAGAGTTTGAGGCTTTCCTAAAGCATAAAGTGGTAAATATTAAAGAGGTTGTGATTTAAAAGTGGCCACATCATGTATTAAACTGAACATTTCCCTGACAAAGTAAATTATTGTATAACTCATTTTATAACTGCAACATAATATAATTGTGAAAGCTAGAAATATCACCAATTGTGAAATATATCTAGATTGTTTGTCATGAGGTCAGGGAGAAGTCAGAAGTAACAGGTTGGCCTCCGTGAATCTTAGTTTGTTAAAGGCATCCAGGGCTTGTGAGTGTGTGTATGTTCAGAAGGTCCTGTGATGTTTGCTTTAGCAAGAGATTTGAAACTGGATAGGAGGCTATTCATAAATTCAGTCTCCCAGAGTATAATCTGCCTGCTAGAATATTAAACATTTTTGGTCAACTTTGATTTACAGAAATAACTAGAACTTTATTTTAAATGCCTTTGGTGTTTTATAAGCATTTCTCTTTTTAT